TCCTGTACAGGTGTGATACCACACACACTACACAAAAGCCTGGGAACATTAGAATTGAGTAGAAATACATACATAACACTACAGAAGGCCACTATATTGAATACATGCCACATTGTTAGGAAATTCCTGAATACAGACACTGACACACTTATTTAATTTTAGTTTTGTTTTGGTTGCTATGCCTTGACTCCGGTCCGGCATAGTACACAGCCACCGGTGTGAACCGAGTAAAACTCACTAAACTCAACATAATATCATATTCTTAAAAAAAGATATTTATTCTATACTTTATTACAGTTGGTTTCAAAATTATAAACACACCCAACTTTTTTCAATAACAAAAACATTAACAATAGTAATGTATTTATTACATTAGTATGTTGTTTATAATATCAATTTAAACATTTTCTGAAATTTTTAGAGCTATCTGACAATTATAAAAAAAAAATTATCACAAATTTTCAATTTTTGATTGTTTCAAAAGTATATCACAGGTATATAAAATTAGTACAATAATTTTTTTTATTAATTATTGGTTTAATTAGTTGTTACCAGAGGGTAGTATCATTCATTATTACAAAAATGCTGCCAATTTTAAACAGTTTTTGTGATTTAAAATAATGCCTTGTGGAAAAACATTAATAGAGTTAAAAATACATAAAATTTATCAACTAGAAGGAGCAGGACAATCTCTAAGACAAATTTCAGCAGCTGTGAGAAATGTGTTAACTCAGAATGAAAATTATGGCAGAAATATGCTATGTGGAAGGCCTAAACTCGTTACACCTAGGAATGAAAGAAAGGTGTTTTGGCTACTGATGGTCAACGAGTTGTCTGTCAGAGAATCAGCATCAACATTGCCAATTGCAGTTTCACCAACAACTGTGTGGAGATGTATGCATAATCATAAAAATGCCAAATTTACAAAAATGGCTGCCAAATCGAAATTAACACAGCTGCACAAAACAGCTAGATTAAAGTGGGTCAAAGACAAGATAACATGGAAAGAGGAGTGAAAACAAATAACTTTTCAGATGAAAAAAAAAAAAAGGAATTTGGATGGACCTGACAGTTATAGTCACTACTGGCATGATTTGAGGAAAAATGAAGAAGTCAGAATGAGCAGACAGCAAGGGGGCTCTTTGATGGTGTGGGCAGGATTTGGATGGGGGTAAAACAGACATTGTATTTATATAAGGTAGAATGAATTCAGAAAGTATCAAGAACTGTTGTATTAAAATTTAATAACTTTTGGATCATTTATTGGGTCAGAAAACTGGCAATTCCAACAGGATAATGCTGCCATTCATGCATCAAAGTCAACAAAAAATTGATTTGCTGAAAAAAAATTTATGTAATTGATTGGCCATCATGGAGACCTGATATGAACCTGACAGAGAATGTTTGGGGCATTACGAGTCATCTTGTTTATAGCCAAAACAGACAAATACAATACTGTAAATGCACTGAAATTAGCTATCACGGATTGTTGGAAAAATATTAAACAAGAACAACTTCAAAAACCGATAAAATGTATGTCTGACAGAATATTTGAATTAATTAAATCAAATGGCAGACCTACAAAATATTGAATCATCACAAATCATTTTTTTTATGCATCCGTGTTTATACTTTTGTAACTAGTGTTACCACCCATCCAGTTTTCACCCGGACAGTCTGGGAATTGACTCACTGTTCGGGTAAACTATTAATTTTGTCCAGGAATTTCATAGAAATTGTGAAATTACAATGAAGCAAGTTCTTGCAAATATTTTTATAAATTTACACTATTTTAAAAGCGAAAGAACTTCACATTCACTAAAACTCATCTTCAATTCTTTCATGTTTGTCTGTTTACGTGTGGTGCGCAGCCTGTTGACTCCTTTTTTTGCATGTATGACCATACACGTCTACGGGCTAAGTTATCTAGCACATTATTCTTCGCATTGTAAAATGACATTGTGCATGCATCAGGAACTTCTGTTCGAACAAACCTGACTTGTCGTCTGGATCAGTGATTTTGAAAAGGTGGCAACACTATTTGTAACAATCAAAAATCTGTGATAATTTTTTTTGTAATTGTCAGATTGCTCTAAAAATTTCAGAAAATGTTTAAATTGATGATGTAATAAACAACACATTAATTAATTAATGTAATAAATACATTACGATTGTTAATGTTTTTGTTATTGAAAAAAGTTGGGTGTGTTTATAATTTTGAAACAGACTGTATTACTTGTACATCATAAATTTATATAAATGTTTTTAAAGTTTATTGAGAATTTTAATCTTTATTAAAATAATAATCAATGCAAAACAATCTTATTTCATTTTTCAATCATTTCGCAACTTATCTTTAAGAACTTTGCATTGCCTAGGAAAAGCCTGAAAGCCGAGTAAATGGGTTCCACATGAACTGAGTGTCAATAATAAGCTCCTAATTCTCACAATCTGCTCACTGTTGTTTTCACAACACAACAATGAGCCATTTTTGGACTGGTTGCTGATGTGTGATGAAAAACGGATTACTTATAACACCACTAAATGTTCTTATTATTAGTTATTGTCTGGTGAATCTACTGCATACACCAAAGCCCAACATCCCTCAACAGAAAACTGCATGTCCGATGGTCTACAGCTGGAATCATTCATCATGAGCTTCTTTCTCCTGGCCAAATGATTACTGTAGATGTCTACTGGGCATAACTGTAATGGGTTCAAGATGCACTGTTTCAAAAACAGCCTAAACTGGTTAATTTAGTATCAAAAACGTAAAATATTTGAGTAGCCCAAGACATAGCCAAAGATTGAAGTGCCACAGCACTGGCGAAAATTTAAATTTGCCGACTGGAATTCTTTCGGATGATTGACTTTCAGAAAATCGACGCTCTACTGTACTGTAACTCTCATTGTTTGAAGTTATTCAGTTAGGGCCAAACTCAATTTAGTATCAACTTCAGAGGCAAACAAGGTTTGAATGTATATGAAAACTTATGAAGATATACCATGTTTTTCTTGATTCTAAGATTAATCATAAGTATGAAATTGAATTCAAACTGAATGAATTTAACAGTAAGTAAAATCTCCATCAACCTTGAAATTAGTCCAGCAGTTATCAAAAGTATCACCTTTTTAAGGTTTTTCACCTACTCTGAAGGTCATCATTGGGAAATGAACTGCCTACCCACACATATATGGTAAGCACGTGAAAGCCAATTTAAACTGTATTCAATCCAATATTAAATTTTCCTAATCAAAGATTAAACACACATTCCATTATGTTTTAATTTTCTAAAGACGACCTTCCTAAATGTTAGAAAGATGATAATTTTGATGACTGCTGGACTTATTTCAAGATTAGTGATTTTACTTACCGTAGTTACAATAACTATTTGTTTTAATGCTGTGTCATAATGTTTTCTTGAAATATTCATTTCAAATGTTAAAAAGGAGTTTAAATTAAAGGTTAATTACCAACAATGTTCGTTTAAGCCGATGTCACTGTTGAGCAGTATAGCCAAAAAAGTTTTGTTGCATAACACATGTGGTTTGCTTATGATGTAAATTAGTGTTTCCCAACCTTTTTTGAATTAGCAACACACATTGAATTTAATAAGATTCCTGTGACACATCAAAGTTTTTAAAATAAAAATGTTTAAAATTTAAAATAAATTATGGTTGATTTAAAAATATTTTGATAATACAAAATTTAAACTTATGAAGAAAAAAAAAAAAAAAAAATCACAATTTTACAAATATACTATAAAAATAAAAAGAATATTTGAATCAATGCATAAAGAACTAGTATCTGTCTTTAAGCTCACAACATTTATAGAAGCTCCAAAGAGTTGGTATGCTGGCATAAGCATTGATGTACACAACTTTTGTGAGGGGATATGCTGATTTCACAAATTTTACAAGAATTGGCATTTTAGTGAATACTCCTTGTCCATTTGGTTGGCTGGCAGTAAAAAAAAGATGAAATATAAATGAAATTATAATAAAGAGCCTATTCAAAATTGTAAAGTTCCAAGTATTTAATATTTCTGAGACACAAGTTGGGAAACACTGATTTAGATTAAGTGAGGGACAAAGTCAAAGCTTTTAGCCTTAAGAGATCAATTATGCACACCACAAGAAACTACTTCAGAAGTCTGATTTCTTCAAAACAAATAACAGACCTATATGGAAAGTTGGGAGATATCACCAGGACTCAAAAAGAACATAGATGAACAAGTCTACCTAATCAAGTTTTCCCCTCTCACAGAAAAAATAAAGGAAACTCCCCTTAGCAGAACAGCTTGCATGACTTCTGATTGTTGTTTTGGACTGTGTCATTGATTCTAAGATGTATCTTCACTTTGGATATTGGGTAAGAAATGTGTCTTAAAATTAAAAAAATACAGTAGCATTAAACATACTATAATGAAATTTAATAATTATCTATATTAAGAATCAATAATCTGAATATTTCTATATCTTAACATTTATCCCATTTTTATTGTTAACTTAAATCCAAAGAATAGTTTTGGCATTACACTACTCTAAATAGCAAACTTATTTTATGGATACTCTGTAATCACCTCTATCCAAAATTTTATTAAAATAATATCAAACAGAACAGTAATGCTTATATTTACATACTACTTAAATAACTTATCTGTGTTTAGAACCAATTAATAATCGAATTGAGTAGAATTTTTTTATAATTTATATTTTTGATTTCATTTAATAATTCTACATATTCTTATCCAACTGAAATTGAGATAAATCCAAATTTCAAAAAAACACTTGTTATTTTTCATTAATAATTTTTCTATTATTTTAAATGCAAACTTTTGTTTTATATGATAATGTATTTAATAAAAATATTTTACATAATTATATAAGGTTTGCCATAAGTTCAAAATCAGAAATAGGGTACATTGTAAGTGAGGTAGTAATGATGAATACCCAGCATTAGATAGGCTATGTAGCACTGCCTATCTAATGCTGGGTATCCATCATTACTACCATTAAACTAATTTCATTGAACTATAATTATTGAATATTTTTTTAATCTGTTGAATCAAGGACAATTGGTTAACGTGCATATTTCAACTAAGTTTTTGTTAGAAAACCCAGCTATCCCATCATGGATTTGGCTTAACCAATGATGAATATGATTAAAAATAAGAATCTTCTCAATGCTCAGAAGGCAGAAAGAATAAAATGAAAAGAAAACTATATATATACATATTGTATACAACTGGAGGAAATGATATTCTTAGTCAAAAAAGCACACTCGATTAAGTCTAGTAACAAGTTTAATATAATAAAGACGTTTTTGGTCTCTTTTTATGAATCTCATGGTTCAGTTAGAACAGGGTATGAGTTAACTGAATTGAATATAAATAATATTTGATCATAAATCAAATAAATACAAATTTTCTATATATATGTCTCAATCTATCCATCTTTTGTTATTCTAAAAGCACTGTCTAATTTCCACATAGCAAACTATCTCAACAAAACATGAATTCATTTTATAGAATATAACTGAGAGTGAAAAGAAAATGTAATATATTTTATTCTCCATAAAAATATGCTTTTAGACATATTAATAACACCATGCTTTATGTGTGAATTTTCCAAGCAGAATCAAACAGAAGGTACATTATTTTTTTTAAATTAAAATTTCTGAAAAAATGTTACATTTGAAATAAAAAAATACTCTTACATACATATGTTGAAAAATAGTCAGTAATCTTCAACTAAAATTTTTTTTAATCAAAAGTTATTTTACTTTCAAAAGTTTATTTTAATTTTATTTAAAATAATCAAAAATTTTATCTGGAATGTTTTCTTGACAAGGAAGCTGTTTCTTACAGTTTTGAATGTATAAAAAAAATCATTATTTGAAATTATCTATAGATGTATTGATAGATGTTCCAACTTTCTTAGGAGTAGAGTACAGATGATGTACAGTACTATATGCATAACAGTGGTCTGACTGGTACAAGTTGCAAAAATAAGTCAGTATTTTAATTAATTTTAACACTTAGAAGATTTTTAAGGCCAAATTATTCAGTATTTAATTATTAATAGTAGTGGTAATATAGCCCAATTTAATCTGACAATTTGTTTGGCTCCATTAAATAGAAGACATTTTCAACATTCAACAAAAACATTATTTAAAAAGAAAATTCACAATATAGAACTTCTTACTATAAAAGTTTGATTGTATTTGAAGAGAGATTATTTATAAAATAATTGTGACTCCAACTTTTTTGAAACTCTATAATCTGCTTACGTTAATTAATAATTAAGAAAGGAAATGTACTTACCAATCAGAATGTAAAGAATCTTGAATGATTTCATTATAGGAAGTTATAGCTTGACTGTTAAAATAAAAATAACGATAAAATAAACAAAAAAACAAGGAATTAAAATTAAGAAACTTGGATTTCTACTAACTTCAAATTTTTATTTTTTTTTACGTCCATACGAGGAAATAATTGTAACCATGGAAGAGAAGGGTGCATCCAATATAAGCAATTTTTATAAAAACATGCTCCAGGACTTGAATCTAACACACAATCCTATGAAAAGATGACGATAATCATTAATATAAAAAGTCAAATCAAACTAAATTATTGATACATTAGACCCCCTATAACATTGTAGATAATTCCATGTTGTATGAGTCACTTAGATTTTACAAATATGTGAGCCATTCACAGCCCTGCACACGTATTTGTAAAATCTAAGTGACTTGTACAGCATGGAATTATCTACAGTGTTATAGGGGGGGTCTACTGTATATAAAAATTATATATTAATAACAATTTAATAGAAATCAGTAATTAATAAATACATCAATCAAAAAGCCTTAATTGAATTCCAGTGAGAGTTAATTCAAAATAAAACTTTCGAACTAACATTTTTGATCTACAAATGGTGATCTTCAGGTCCATATATTCAATGATGGATGTTGAATAGAACACAATGATATTGAATATAAATAGATAAAAATAGATAAATTCTCAAATATATAAAAATAAAAGTAAACACTCAAAAATTATATTAATATAAATGAGAACATTTTGTTATAATGTCCCTATGTCATGATGTTATGTCATAGTTGGTCATGTTTAGATTGAAAGAATTAGTCCAAAAAGTTTTATTTTGAATTATATCTTACTGGAATTCAATTAAGGCTCTTTTATAAACATACTAGTAGCTCGGGACGCCCCCCCAGTGGGCGTTCTTTACAAATTTCCATGAGGCACGGTTCCTTTGACTTTTTTTGTTCCGATCAATATGCTCTACAGCTCTGTTAAAGTCCGAATGGTAAGATTTACCCTTCGAATGAAGAGGTGGCGACCCCCCAAACCGTAGACCCCTGTACTAACAATAAAGTCAAAGGAACCATACCTCTATTCGCGACCCTTCGAGAGATATAAGCCCCTGAAATAATAAATTCCTATTACAAATATACTGAATTATTTATATTGTTATATTGACCAAATAATAATTTATTGGCCAAATGAATAATAAAAATTTATATTGTTAATTTAAATAAGAATTAAAATTGTTAATTTGAATGTTTGAAATATGACACACGATAGGGGCGCCTCTAGTGTCCGTTATCAAACAGTTACGGGACAGACACCCGTTGAATGAGTTATATATATAGATTTATTGATGTATTAGTCCAGTCTAAAAATTGACGTTGTAACTCCATCAGTTACTGTTTTGGACAAATTAATAAATTGACAGTACACATAAGAATACTGCATAAACAGTCAATTCTAATTAATTCAAACCCACTAATATTCCCACTGAATATGTATTAAATTATTACAAAATATAGTTATAATAATAAACAACGCTTTTTGCCCACGACTATAAATTAGACAGAGTTAGACAACCTAATAAATATGGTATAACAATTTGCAGGGCTTATCACACCAAGGCTTGGTGTGATAAGCCCTGCAAATTGTTATACCCTACTTATTAGGTTGTCTAACTCTGTCTAAAATATAGTTAATTCAAAGTTTTTAGTACATATATGAATAACTAGCTGTTACCCGCGACTTCGCACGTGTGGATTTTGCAAGCAAACCCCATTTATATCCAGTATTTCACAACCATAGTAATTGTTATATAACACCTACCACTGAGAATGATGAGAATTGCTCAAAATCAAACGAACTATTTTCAACTTGATCAATTTTCTGGAATGTTTACAATCGTTCTATAATTGAACCAATATGCAATAACAAATTTTAATTTAAAACGGTTCGAACATTTGGTTAAAAAATCGAAATATATAAAAATATTTATAACAATGTCTGAAATATTATCAATTTAATACACCTAAGTACTCAATGAAGACTAAACATAGTTGAAAACAAAAAAAATCACATCTAAAATAGTACAGTAGAAGCCATTCTTCAGGTTAAGCCTTAATCCTCTCTCTCTCCCCCCACGGGAGGAATTTTGAAAAATCCCTTCTTAGTGTATGTTTTTATGATGTACCCTAACTGTGTACCGAATTTCACCTCTTTAGGTTCAGCAGTTTGCTCTGGGCAATGATGAATCAATCAGTCAGTCAGGACAAGTAATCTTATATATTTAGATATGAATACGAACCGAAAAAGGAAGCAATATACAGCCATCTAATCACAAAACATAGATTTCAAGAACTATAAAAGCCACATGCTCTGTAAACTCCTGAAACATGAATGAAATTATCTATGTACCTCAAAGCCTGTTATCAGTGTGATTAACATCAAAAAACAAAAAAACAGACTTCCACAAATATTTTTGAACCTTTAATGGTTCTTTTCAGGAGGCAATGAATTTCCGTTAGAATGCCAATAGATAAGAACATTATTTGAAATTCTACCCGATGACGAGAACAGCTCTTTTTACAGCTCTTTGTCTATTAGCGCTTGCCATGCTATGGACAGATTTAATTTCCCTTTGTGGTTGATACAGGTGTTGCTGAGGCTGGATTTGTAGATATAAATGGCCTCCAACCACTTTAGATGTTCCGTGTATGGTGTGGTGAGGATGATTCTTGCCTGGTTAAAATTTGGCTCCGTCAGGATCACTGGCATAAACCACGGCTCTGGCCATTTATGCCAATGATCCTGACATAGAGCCGAATTTTAACCAACATCTAAAGTGGTTGGAGGCTATTTATATCTACAAATCCAGCCTCAGCAACACCTGTATCAACCACAAAGGGGAATTAAATCTGTCCATAGCATGGCAAGTGCTAATGGACAAAGAGCTGTAAAAATTCCTGTCAACTGCTACCATCTATAGTGCATATGCCTAAATGAGATGTCATCAGATAGCATGTGTTCGAATTTTGAACAATGTTCTTGTCTATTGGCATTCTATTTGTCGCCGCCAGAAGAATCGTTAAGGATTCGAAAACGTTTATGGAAATCTGTTTTTTTTTTTTGTACTTTGATGTTAGTTTCACACTGGTTGCAGGCTTTGAGGTACGTAATTAACTGTATTACAGTGTCGAGTAATATGGATTTGTAATGAAATTATCATGTGGTAAAAATGAAAGCAGTCAATCCAAGTATCCATTTGTTCAGATGAAGGTCCTAATGAAAGTTATTAATTCAATGAATATGGACTTATTCTGTAATAATTTCATGTTGGCAGTTTCAAGATCATCAAACAAGTAATTGTCCATTGGATACAAAAATAAAAGATTGATTGCAAAATGATTTCAGTTATATTTGATAATTTCCTGAAGAAAATAGAGTATACTTCTATTGATAGAAATACTTTAGCCAACAATAACATTCAATCTTAAGATGATTTTTGTATTTTTAATTTATTACATATCATTATCGTAAGTTAAGAAGGTTAAAATTGTTCATTAAAAATTTTTCTTTAGTTAAATTTTTTTCTTTTAAGGAGATACAAGAAATATATTCTAAATGGGTATCTAAAGAAAATATTAAATAATTGGTACAACCATTTCATATTAAATAGATATAAGGTGAAAGAAAAACAAGAAACCAAAAAGTACATATCATTTCCTTATATAAAAGACATATATGAAAAATATAACCAAATTCTTAACCAAAATTTTATTAAACTGGTTCCAACTCAAAATAATAGGTTGTCTGATCTGATGGTTATAAAAAGTATTAAAAAGGACCCATTAAAAGAAGAAGGCATTGTCTACAGACTAGTGCACATGTAGTATTCCAAGTTTCTATATTAGAGAAATGAAGAGAAAATCGAAAACCAGATTGTTGGAACATTTAGCAGCTGTAAGATAAAAATTAATAATTCTCCCATTTTTCATCATTGTAGTATTAATAACTGTAAAATTAACATTAATAATGTAAAAATTGTTTATAAAGAAAAAAATAATGTAAAAAGAAAAGTCAAAGAGTATTTTGCCATAATTATGCAAAATAATACAGTTAATTTAAATATGGGTGTGTTGACAGCTGCATGCTGGGAAAATTTTGTCGGATACATAGATGAAAACTCGTAATGGAAACCCATGATGGAATATTGTCGAAGTTTAATTTGTTTACTGAAAACCCTACTGAAGAGGCCTAATATTGTTGTCAAAATGCATTTAGGGGATGTACCAAAGTAATAAAGTGTTCTTTCTCTGCAAAGTTGATTTGCTTTTACCTTTTATTTTAAACTTTAATTTTATTTCGTTATTGATGTAATGTTTTAGAATTTGGAAGTTATCTGCCCTCCGTAAGTCAGAAAGGAAAGAAAATTTGATTTTTCGTGTATTTTCCTATAATACAATTAAGTAAGAATTGAAAGTTAATCTGATTCCATTGTTTTAAATACAGATAGCCCTTGGTTTACGCAGCAGTTCCGTTCCTACAAAAGCTGGCGCAAATCAAATTGGTGTAAAATGAACCCATATTTACAGTGAGGTATAGGGTTAGGTTCTACATAAGTGAAAAATAAGCAAATAATTTTTTTTTAATACAATATAATACAANTGAGTGGCGTCTACTTCAATTTGAGCGAGTTGAGAGTGATTTGACAGACTCAACAGATGTGAGAATTGATTCTTATTGGAGTCAGTATTTTAAATTGGTTGACTCCCTTGGGAATGCAAGATATCCCAGTGTAACCAAATTGGTGAAATCAGCATTGACTCTCTCTCATGGCAATGCTGATGTGGAACGGGGATTTTCGATTTCACACCGCGCACTACCTCCTGATAGAGCATCAATGTCAGAAAGAATGCTTAATTCACTTTTGATTGTTAAGGAGGGACTAAACATGTATGACCGAAGCCCACACCTTGTACCTATTACAAAGGATTTACTGAAATTAGCTGCCTCAGCACATAGAAATTATCAAGATCAATTGGAAAATAAAAAGAAGTTAAAAGAAAAAGAGAAACAGAAAAAAAGTGCAGAAGAGGAAGCACAGAAAAATTTTGAAGAACATCAAAAGAGAGGAAAAGATGTCAAGGAAAAGATTATGGCACTGCAGCAGAATTTAAAACAGAAAAAAGTAGAAGAAAGTGAAATACACGAGACAGGCCAGGTTTTGTTAGAAGCAGCAAACAAAAAACTGGAGAAGGCCATTAATAGCAAGAATATGAATGAAATACGGGCAGCACATGTCATGCTTGTTAGTGTTAAAAGTGTTCAAAAGCAAGAGGAAGCAAAAAAGAAGGAAGCTGAAAACATCCAGAAAAATCTTAATAAAATTTTTGAACATCATCTTTCATGACTGATTATTTACAGAAGAAGCCAAAGACTTATTAAGTATTCATGGTTTACTGGAAATATTACAGTACAGTAATACCCCGAACTTACGCGATAGATGGGACCGAGCGATAACCGCGTAAGTCGAATTCGCGTAAATCGGGGTATAATTTCGCAATTTGTGTAAAGTCGGATGTATGCAAGCTAATAAATGTTCTCGTTAATCTTTTCTTGTCATTTGATTCGTTCACGGTTACAAGAAATCACCACATAGAGTCTCTCGAGTCTCCGTAGATATAACAAATACAGAAATACTGTAAATAACACAAAATAAATTGTAGCTATGTGTCGATTCCGCGCGACACGTCCGAACATGTAAGCTGAACAATAGTGTGGGGGGAGTGAGTAATCGAGAATTGCGTGGCGCTCAAACAAAAAACGAATCGATGAGATTTGAAAATCGCGTAACTCCGGGTTCGCGTAAGTCGAGGTAGCGTAAGTCGAGATATTACTGTATATAGAAAAAGTTTTAAAATGTATTTAACCATAACAATAAAAAGAAAAAAACTTTTACTGCTATTTTGCTGAGTTTTCCTTCCATGTTTTTACTTTGTTTTGTCACTACAGGTAGCTCTCGGTTTACACTGCAGTTTCATTCCTACAAAAGCCGGCACAAATCAAATCAGCGTAAAATGAATCCATATTTACAGTGAGGTATAGCGTTAGATTCTACATAAGTGAAAAATAAGCAAATAATTTTGTTTATTAATACAATATAATGCAAAATACATATAAATTTAATTTTTGAAATGTATTTTATCATAAAATAAAGTGAAATGTTTTTATTAAAAAATTTTAGTTTCGGATCTCTTACATTCTTCAGAAAAAAGTATCCATCTTTAATTAAATTCCTGATCCATCAGAGCGATATTCTGTAATTTAGTGATGAGTTCCAGAGTGTTCGAAACGATGTAACTATATTCTTTCATGAGCTCCTCAGAAACCATTTGAAAGAATATAGTTACACCGTTTCGAACACTCGGAAACTCACCATCTTTAAACTGTTTACATTTTTGNTTTTATTAAAAAATTTTAGTTTCGGATCTCTTACATTCTTCAGAAAAAAGTATCCATCTTTAATGAAATTCCTGATCCATCAGAGCGATATTCTGTAATTTAGTGATGAGTTCCAGAGTGTTCGAAACGATGTAACTATATTCTTTCATGAGCTCCTCAGAAACCATTTGAAAGAATATAGTTACACCGTTTCGAACACTCGGAAACTCACCATCTTTAAACTGTTTACATTTTTGTTTTCTTTCATTGAGAATTTTGGAATATGGTCGAAAGGATGCGATGATGCTTCTTTTTACATTCACACTTTGCTCCCAATCATTGTCTAACTCACAAAGTTCATCCGTCAAACTTTTCATAGTTGAAAGGATATATTAACCTGACGTAGAACTACAGACGAGTTGAGACACTGATTGGTCGACCACTGGTCACCGCAGTGCACATATAAGGTCAGTTTAAGCAGGAAAATTGAAAGTGGCTAAGGAGAGATATGTATCGTCTGACTGACAAGTAGATATTGTCTGGCCAACAACAAGTAGATTTGTCTCACTAACGATAGTTTGTGATTGCCGGAAGTGCTACTGCATCATAAGGTGTTTTCCTGAATGAACTGATACGGGATACATTCANCTCTTACATTCTTCAGAAAAAAGTATCCATCTTTAATGAAATTCCTGATCCATCAGAGCGATATTCTGTAATTTAGTGATGAGTTCCAGAGTGTTCGAAACGATGTAACTATATTCTTTCATGAGCTCCTCAGAAACCATTTGAAAGAATATAGTTACACCGTTTCGAACACTCGGAAACTCACCATCTTTAAACTGTTTACATTTTTGTTTTCTTTCATTGAGAATTTTGGAATATGGTCGAAAGGATGCGATGATGCTTCTTTTTACATTCACACTTTGCTCCCAATCATTGTCTAACTCACAAAGTTCATCCGTCAAACTTTTCATAGTTGAAAGGATATATTAACCTGACGTAGAACTACAGACGAGTTGAGACACTGATTGGTCGACCACTGGTCACCGCAGTGCACATATAAGGTCAGTTTAAGCAGGAAAATTGAAAGTGGCTAAGGAGAGATATGTATCGTCTGACTGACAAGTAGATATTGTCTGGCCAACAACAAGTAGATTTGTCTCACTAACGATAGTTTGTGATTGCCGGAAGTGCTACTGCATCATAAGGTGTTTTCCTGAATGAACTGATACGGGATACATTCACTGGCACTATGGATTCATTTGCCATTTATTGGACTATTAAGTTTAATAACTTGACTCGTGGGTACCTAAACGTTTAGTATTTTAATATTAATTTAATGCAAATGTATACATACCCAATAATATTAAACAGAAAAAATAAATACATTCAATAAAAATCTTTGTTTTAACGAATGTACAATGTCGCGGCTTGGTAAATAAGTCAATACTGAAATGAAAATCAGTCTAGCATAGGGAAAATCGGGGAATTACACCACAAAACAGTGAATTGCACAGTGGCATTATTATGAATCAGCGTAAATTGAGCCAGCGTAAACCGAGGGCTACCTGTAGTTATTTTTGAATATTTCTTAATATTTCTACAGATTATATTATATATTTCTTCTATGATATAGAAACATATTTGTTATTTAAAAATTTTTTATATACATATATTTAACTTAAGAAATAAATTTTGTAATTCTATATATAATTTCTTTTATATACACAATATATATTGTAATTCAAAGTCCTCTTACTTTTCCTTTATGTTGCTCAAGTTCCAAACAGCGAGTAAAACTTGTTGTACCACTTGCTTCTTCTACAGTTTTGAGATTTCCCCGCCAAGGAAATGGTTTAGTCGACATAAAACGAACTTTTGTTTTTAAGCTCCAGTCTACAGGAATGCTATTAATCCATTCAGATTTATTTTCAAACTAAAAAAAAAAAAACAAAATATACATACATACATACATACATATATAATAATATATAAAATTTTTAAGTAAGTATATGTATATATATATACTTACTTAAAAATTTTAAAATATGGATTAAAAAGAGCTTAATTTCATAAAATCAATTATAAACTTAACATCTGCCAAATTATAAACTTTAATTTCAAACTTTAAATAATAATTTTTGTTGTTTAAACTTTATTAACTTGTTCAGTAAAAGATAAAAAAACTAGTACTCATAACATCCATCAGCACATTTCCGTGCAACCCATCCAAACTATGAAAACACACACTGTTATTCAGCACTATGAGTCACCACTGGAGAAAAAATATTCCCATATTTGTACTGGCTGGAAAGTAAACACTGGACAAAAATTACCAGTAAAAAAAAAAAAGCGAGAAGAAGATAAGGAAGTACCACTTTAGCCTGAAACTATATGTTTTGAGGATACAAGCCAAAGACCAAGGAAGCAGTGGAACCAAATTAAAACCTACATCTATCACTGCTAGTCACTGACTCTATAATCCATCCAGTATCATCCAGTAAAATTGAAAAGGAGATCTTCAAATTGTCGATATTTGTTTTACCACTATGTTTATGTTTTTTGTAAAGGCATTATTTACTTTATAAACTCGCTCTCTCTTTTGCACACATTCAAAGAAAGGAATGTATTTTTCTTCTAAGACATAATAAGTATATTAATTAATGATTAAATTGTGTGCATAGCCATTCTGTCAGGACACAAGTAACAGTCATCATTAATAAATGTGTGTTAATTTAAATTGAGGTTTACAGAGCCACTCAGGCTTGACTGGATTTTTGTAAGAACCAAAACAGTGGACCTCACATGTCTTATACTTCATCTCTGGGGACTTGGATCTGGAGAAGGGGGAAAAAGACAAAAATTGAAAACTTCTAATAGTTTTCTAAATATATATTGGAATAATTTATATATATATATTCATTATTTGATATTTATATTCTTTGCAGATAAATGAAAATTCAGTTTAATTGTAGCAGAAATGAATTTTAATTTTAAGTGTTTAAAATTAATCTTATACAAACCTTATTCACATTATTTAATAATGTATTCTTTGAACTTTTTACTTCTGGTGGACCAAGGACAGTATTTTCATCCAATAAATCTACAGTAATTGAAGTTTGAGGAGATATTCCTGACAAATAATCTTTGTAAATATCCATATTTTTCTGATAAAAAATTTTTTTAAACATTAGTTTATATACTAATTAATTTTTGTACTTCAGAATGTATCAAACGCATACTACTCATGTTAAGGATAATAATGAAACTCCTGAAGAAGAATCTGACCAGATATCTGATGTAAAGAAAACTTTCTCAAAATCCTTCAACATGATCTTTACTTTCGATGACACTTTATCTTAAAGTTCGCTGCAAACAAGTTCTGTAAAATATTTCCTGCCTTTTAGAACATAATTTGGAACAACATGATTCAACAATCGTCGGAACCCCAATCCTTCTGTGTTGAAAAGGTAAATCAGATAAAGCTATCATTTCTGCAATTAAATAGTCAATTTTTATTGATTTGGGGTTTNTTCTACGTAAAAATGGTGGTTATAAAATTTAACAAATATATTTAAAATTTATATATTTTAATGTAGATTTTAATTGTGTAATTATCAACATGTAAATGCTTGAAAGTGATCATACACAAATTACAAAAATTATTTTTGATATATTCTTATTTTATATGCTGGAACTTTTTGAACAGCTCTTATAGGTTTAAAAATTTCAAGCTCGAATAAGTAATAAATTCCCAACATGGATTTTTATTCCTGAAATCTTTGATACTTAAAGCAAGTTTGAATTTTGATCTAAATTACCAGTTGAAAATCAAATACTTTATTGTAATTTTAATTTTTTGTATCAAGATGAAATTATACTCTTCTCTTCAGCTTCCTACACAATTCTTCCAACTGTCTAACTGCTTCTGATTGTTGTTGACTTTCCTATAGTAAAAAATGATATCCTCCCCTTGTGACTATTCTTACTTTTTTACAGATGAAGAAGGGCCACTTTATGAAAGACAGCAATCATAAATTTGAGAGATAGAAATAAAAACATATTCAGAATTACATTTTCCAATTTATTGAAAGGTATTTTATTTTAACCTAGTAAAAAGTAAAAATCAAGAAAAGGTATAAGTAAATTTTCGTATGGTGTTAAGACTAACAAACATAAAAATAAATAAATGGGAGGGGGAAAAATTAGATTATATAAGACAGTCAGGACCTGTCAAATAAAATGTACAAGTACAATACATGTAAGTACAAAATGTATAACCAAAGTTTTTCTGTATAATGTAGGAAATATGAAAAATTACAATATGTTAACCCAAAATGACAACAATGCTATTTAACTTTACTATAACTAATTTCATACAACATTTACTTTAGCAACAGACTTGCTATTCAGTATCATTATTTTTAATGGTTGATATTCTGACAATTTGCTAATGTATGGTTCCTTAATAGATGCCTAACTTTTTTAATTGCAGAGTATAATTAATGCTCATTGAAACGAGCAAAACATATCACCATTATATAAGAAAACAGCATTGTTTAATTAAGATTCTTTGCTTGTATAATACTATTCTTTATCTGTAACACAAAGCTAAAACATTTCATTATTATTACACTTTTTGGTTAGTTATTTTACTGTTTGTTTTTTATAATTAAAAGTTGTTAATATATGTTAATATAATTTAACAGAATGAAATTAATAATATTTATGAAACGTACCTAAATGGATTCACATGTTTTTCTTCTATTATGCCAATTTCTTGGCTTGTTTTTAAAGGCTGCGTTTTATTTATGTCAATGGTTTGAAGAACATTACTTGTCATTTGAAGTTGTCTTCTTGCTTTTTTATGCAGTCTTAGTACTTCACATGGTTTCAGCCAAGGTGGAGAATTTGAATCAGCCATTATGTAAAAAGTTCTACAGATATTAATAACAAATTATAACAGATTAAAATTTAATTTATGATAGTAACAATTTGAAATTATGGTTGATTTATATATAACTAATAGTTATAGTGAATTAAATTATCGTATAATATATTTATTTAAAGTTTTACATATGCAAAAAAAATTCAATCTAACTCATTCCGTAAACTATTTAAAAAATAATTTAATGGTTAATTACTTAAATATACATACAGTACATAATATATCTTGATGTAGAAATTTAAGTTAAGTAACTATTAAAAAATTCTGTTCTGTATTATATATAACTACATTGGTTGAGTAATAAGAAAACACCAAGTATTTTTGATTATACACATTTTGATTAATCAAAATCTCTTAAATGACTTATATATTTATCAAAATCAAAACTTTTACAATTCAAACAAATCCTAGCCCAATATTTAATTAGCCAAAGATCTAAAGTTAGATTTATTCAAGGCAGCAACTGTTCTAATTATTAAAAATCCAATTATATAATTTAGTCTAAAACAGGTAGTTTGAGAATGAACTATCCCAATGTGTTTGCATGAATCCCAAAAGGGAATCAACTCCATATTCACAGATTCAAGTTCTTTCTTCTCATCTTTCCTTCAAAAAACTTTTTAAATTTAGTATCTTGTCTTAATTTATCTTGGTATAAGATGAAATTTAATCATCTACCTCTAGGCCAAATTTAAACTTGATTATTAATAATTCACATAGTTATAGCTTGTGAATAATCTGCTTTTAGATCACAATTCTTTACAGTATTATAAAACAAACTGTGCTAAATTTTTACTATTACAATTGAATTATTTCAGCATAATGAAATCTGATAAAACCAAAAAATAGCAATTTTGATAAAAAAAACAAAAATATAATGTAACAATTTTATGTTAGATATCATAAAATATTGTATTTTATCTACATATTTAATTTAATAGCAAATTTAATAATGGGATGACTATTGATAAATTAATCCCACTGAATCCAAAAATAAAAATTAAAGACCCCGAGTCATCTAGAGGTCAATCAACTTGTTTTAAAAGTTAATGAACTTTTAAAACAAGTTTTTAAAATATTTAAATGTTGTTAATAATTATTGTTAAAATAATTATCATCAAATATCTAACAGGACACACTTTTTAATCTTAGTTTATCAACTTCTCATTCATCTCAGTTTCCATAATTCTAACATTTTCATCATTATGTTTCTTCTTCAACTTAAAAAACTATTTTACAAAGATATTCATTTTGTAATGTTGTAAACATTAAAATTATATATTTCTTTGAATAGTTTGTGCTTATTTATTTGACTGTTTCACATTCAAAAAAAACCAAATCCCCTTTATTGATAAATCTGACATGATTTGTCATTTTATAAAATTGGCTCCACAAATTAATCAGATTAGTAATTAGGCAATTTCCAACCTGAATCTTAACCTATGTGTAGAATGTTGAAAATGTCCTAGCAAGATTTTCCATTCTCTAGCCCAGTGTTTCTTAACCTCTAATGAATCATCGCCCCCTTCAATAAAACCGTTATGTAGTATCATCCCTTCACTACAAAATTCCGATGCCGAGGGACAAGGCTATCACCAAATTCGCACTGCATCGAATAGACTAGTGATTAGTATAATATTATTTGTTTAATTATTGTACGATATAACGAATAAAATATCTAATTATTCTTAATATAATGTTTTACTATATTGCCCAGAAAATTGTTTTTTGCACCCCCAAAATATAAATTGTTACTAATTGCCCCCTCAACATGGAAAAATGCCCACATAGGGGTGATATTACCCCCGTCGAGAAACACTGCTCTAGCCACACTAATCTATAACCAAATGTACAGTACACTACATCAGAATCTTCTCTAGCTAGAGTGGTGCTAGAGTAATTCTATCAAGACTTATATTGTTCAGTTACACTGGGGTGCATGTAAAGAACTTTCATCACATCTTTGGAGTAATGGCAAACTTTTTTTTCTGAAGGTGGATCAAGATTGAATTTGAGTAATTAAAAACAAAAACATACAAATCTTACTTTGACTTTTTAATCTATATGACAAAAATAACAATGCACACTATATAGTTGTAAAGATGATGATGTAATTATAACAGAAACAAATATTTTGTCTAATAGAATATCTTCTATTATTTATTTGATGATAATTTTTCTATCAGAAGTTCAAAATTAGTGGTCTTTAAAGCTTTTTACGACAGCTTTAAGACCCCTACTTCACATTTCACGCGCAAAGTTTTAAATTATCGAATATTTTGTTATAATTTATAAAAAGTTAATACCTCGTAAACATTAGGTACGCGTTCTCGAAATTGGGGTACGAGTCGCCGTCACCAGTCTAGGCACCGGTAAAGTCTATATAACACAAACTCGTCGAGAACAAGACGACAAGCCGCCACGGCCACTACGGTATAAGTAAATAATAAGAAAAAGTCGACAAAACACCATCCGCAACTTCCTCAACCGAGCATTTATCTCAAGCCTTTTGTACCGCTTTCGGGTAATTTCCACTCCGAAAACATTTAAAAATTCCCACATTTTTCGAGGTCCTAGCTTTTTTGTCCCCGGCACCCTAATCCTTTAACAAAACCTTCGATAATATTCCAGAAACATTTCATACCGTCAAGTTAACAGCAGATTAATATCCTCTCCGTCGGTGGCACGTCATCCCACGAGCAAAAAGGGCAATCGTCCGGGCCCCTCCGCCGACCAATCTTCGATATATTTCCTCCGAAGAAAAATGCCGGAAGTCCACGCCATATAGAAGAACCCCTAATTCAAATTTTCCAGCTCCCACCAAGCTATAACGCTCTACTGTTCTCTGTTCCACACGCGACATCTGCCTTCACCGAACATTTTTTTACATACACCAAGTGGAACCTATATACAGCACAAAAAGCTATTTGGACCAAGACCTAGACAAGTGTAGCTCGTGTCGTGTACATCGCGACTCTAGCTAGATCGCTACAATCCCGGCGACAGCGAGAAACTCTCTCTCGAACAGTAACGACCATTTTAAAGTGCGTCATAATTACAGGAGGGTAATCGCATATAATTTGTACATTTGAATTTAAATTTCTTTAAAGTACAGAATTATATTAACCGATAACATCTTTACACTTTCAACTATCGCACGTTGAAATAAATTTAAATATATTTACCCGTAAAACGATATAAATCTCCTCCAACTACATTTTGTACTTTCCGCCAAATGACGCCATCTGTTTCTTTGTCGTCGAGACTATCTCGACCGTTATCGATAAAATTTTGGAAAATAGATATATTCATTCTCTTCTATTAACATATATTATTTATTTCATTTTAAAAGATTATAATCATTAATTTTTAATAACTTCCTCAATTTATAAATTATTTTATTTATTTATAAAATTATATAAAACTAACCACGTTAGAAATGGAACTTGATATTATTTTAATTTTTACGTACGCAATTTTTTACTTTTAGCTTAGGATTATTTAGTTAGAAGAAAAGATTTTGCACACCTGTCGAAACTCGATTTACCAGAAACCATCTGATAATATGCCATCATAGGGAGCGCGTCTCTCACTCCCAGGCCACCCAATTCGACGAAGCGACAGTCTAACCGCTTTGGGGAATCCGAGATCGAATCCGGACGGATCGAAAAATCTCCAGGAATTTTTCGAGTAGCCCGACCGGATATGTCGATCCCCGTCCCTCACTACCCGACCGCCCCATTGCGGGACTGGCCGAACCCAATAATGGGCTCTCAAAAAAAGGCCCTCTTAATGCTCGCAGGGCGGAAAAAGTTTGTTTGTTTAGTTATTTAAGTTACGTTCGACAACGCAACACTTGGGCGATATGCCTAGGGGGAATGCCTTCCGGGGGATCTTTTTTAAGGGTAACTGGTCCCCGTTCGAGCGTTAAGACGTGGAGAAAACCCGGAAAATTTCACGTGCCAGCCCGTCCCGGAGAGGCGCAAACCCAGGACCGAACTCTCAGTGTTCGGGGAACGGAACCGCTCGGCCACTGGTGGGCCCGTCACGAATTACGGATGCGATCGGTTGTTGAAAGAGATTGATATGATCGATGGATGATCATTTGACAAAAAGTTACCATCGCTTAGTATCTTTTTATCTATTTTGTGAAATAGTAATAAGGATGCGATTACAGATTGCATCGATACAGATAGTCAATAGCCATAGCCCGATTATAATAGTCTTGTGATATTAATCTATCTCGAGCAAGCAGTAAAATGAATTATCAAAATCACGTGGTGTGTCCGATTCAGACAATACTTTATCTCTCTCTCATTAAAATTTATTAATTAAATGTAACTATACATTCTAATTCTCTGCTTTTGAAATTATATGGGAATAATGTTTATTAAAAAGTAAAATATGTTTATAATAACACAAGACATGTGAAAATTATAAAACGTCTAGTATAAGGCATTTTCATTATATTGCGTCCTCACCAAAAGAGAAGTTTCGAGTTAGCTCGGAGCTGGTTCACAACTACTGTATTTGACCATTCCGCACTGAAATTGAGAATCTAAACTGCAAACTGGTTCGCTATTAAAGTAATTAGTGATACCGAAGACGACTGGTTACTTACATCTACTTTACTGTTATAATGTGTGGAAGTTCTCAAATTTCTAAACTATAATAGCGTGGAATTAATCTCTTTTTTTTTCTTCTATTATTACATTCTGCGTGGCTTGTATTCCATAAAACCAGATGTTGTTCAATTAAATCTATTGTTCTTTCAACGATGTACACGATGAAAAATTAAGACGATATTATCTAGCAGCGGTTTTCAACTACGTGTACACGAACCACTGGGTGTATCCAAGAAGGGCACGAGTCTCTAGGTTACACGGAAGGCTCGTGGTGGTACGGGAGTTAGAAAAAGGACGAGAACCGCTGATATAAAGTATATGTTAAGCATGAAAATAATATAGCATGTATTAATTTAATAACAGTATAATGTACTTAATTAGAACTTAATATTTACGTTTATACGTGCTAAATAATCAAATTCAATATTCAAATAAATAATTCCGAATGATTAGGACTTCCATATGACAACTCAGGTGTCGTATAGGAGTCACGCTCCATATCCGAGCCCATACGATGTACCGCACTTAAACACACGTATTTTATATTCAGATCGGATACTTTTCAAAGCCGAACTATTCAACCAAATACTATTTTAGTTGGGAAGAGGATAAAGTAGAGAGATAAAGATAAAACACAATAAATATAACATTTCAAATCGCAGATATTTAAAAATATTGTTATTTATTCCTTTCCGAAACAAAAATAACTTATAAAATGATCTTGAGCAAATATTATTTATCAATAAACACAATTCAAGAGTGTTTGTTTGTTAAATTATGGCAACGCAACACGTGGGCGATCTGCCTAGGAAGCGGATGCCTTCTGGCCTGGAGGGTTTTTTTCTTTTTTTAAGGGAAACTGGACCCCATTTCGGCGTTACAGACACGAAGAAAACCCGGAAAACTCCACGTGGCCAGCCCGTCCCGAACTCCCAGTGTTCAGGGTACGAAGACCGCTTGGCCACTGGTGAGCCCAATTCAAGAGTGATAAATTGTAATAAAATAACATTAATGCTTTTGTATTCATAGGAAGTGAGCGCTTTGGTTGGTCGTTATAAATACTCCCAACTTTGCCGAACATGCTGCGCGTTCTCTAAATACACTACTTTGTGCAGCAGCCAAAAACGACGTACTTCAATGGCAAGATTTAATTTTTAACTTTTAATTATTACGTATTATTTTTAATAAATGGTTATTATGTAATCATTTATTAAAAATAAAACGTATATAATCTTTATTATGGAAGCGATGTACTGTACTGTACCTACCTTATTCTAAGGCTTAAAGTCAGCCTTCTGTTTCGAGCAGTTGCAAATAAATCAGCTGATATTCGGCCGAATATTCGGTATTCGGCAATGGTAACATTCGAATAAATATTTGGTATTCGGCCTAGAACCTCTATTCGGTCCATCCTTAATTTAATTACAAACGTTTTACGCTCGACACGAATTGGAATATCCTCGATAGTACTTCTAATATATTTATACGATCAAGTTTCATTTCTGTAATCACTTCTAATATTTGTAAAATTACTTTCTTGAAATATATGAAACATAAGCTTAACCATAAAAATCTTTGTAATTTTCAATTTTTACAGTAATTAATGATGTACAGCACCGACGAGCATCTATTTTGGATGCTGGCCTCCATAGAACTTTGTACACATTTTCTTAGATTTGTAAGCTTTAAGCCTGCAGAATATCACATATTTTTGCAACCAAAGTACTTTAGGTACAAAAATAATATATGCTAATACGAAAACTAGTAATATATAGTTTATTCTCATCTTTTCACTAGTTTCATTTAGTTAAAATGCTCTTCGTCACCAATATCGGCCTAACTAATGGACGAATTAATAAAATCACCGAGCACTCGGTCGCACCATTACTGATCTGGCCGAACCCATACTGGGTTTGCTAAAAAAGGTCTTCTTAGTGCCAACGTAGCGGAAAGACTTAAAAAACCTCACAGATTTTTAATTACAAATGGACCCAACCCTCAGTGGGGTCGGTTTACGTGGTCAAGAGACAGTAAACGACATTCTAAAACAATACGCTGGTGTTAAATTGTGGGATCCGGATTCGAAACCGGATCCTAAGGATAATTAATATAGGCCTACTAATAATTAATTTTTATTTTCATTATATTCAATAAAATATTATAATCATTATAAAATAATTTTATATAGGAATAAAAATAAAATTTCTTGAATAAACCTTTCAGCAGTGTTATAAAAGATAAAATTCTTTTCTTTACGCCGTCCATATTTAACTTAGGAATAAGAAAAAACTTATTAAATGTAAATAAACTTCACGAACCAATTTGATAGAGCGGAATATTTTGCAAATTTATTTCGCTAAATTAACGCTTGACTAACATTCGACAGAGAGAAATGATAAATATAATTTTTCCTTTTGTTGTTCATAAAACGAAATTTATAGAAAACTATCCATTTTTTTAACTTCATTTTTTGCATTTAACTCAGATTTGCATCATTAATCATGAAAGAAAATGTTGGCACATTTCTCATTCCTATCGTACATAATCGTTTTATAGTAGGAATGTATCCGAAACAATTCTTATATTCTGTACTTCGTCTTAATTTAGATTCGTGACAAAAATATATTTAATTCTATTGAGATTTTCACTTATAGAAACGTATCAACTGTTTCGTTTAATTATCTGGAATATACATAAATGTCTTCATTAACAAATATCATCATAAAGTTAACACAGTGGATTCTTGATATGGTGACTACCCCATATAATAATAATGTTGGTCTGCTATTCTTTACATACTGTACAGTATATATAGACAAGTCTTGAGATAATTAACGGTTTAGTTCAGTCTTTCGAAGGTCTACTGTATTTATATACGAGTTCTATAGTGATTTAATAGTCTGAATATATAAAATCGTTTTGTCTTTTATTTTTAACGTAATAAATATATTTATTAAAATAAGAAATAATTTAGATGTATTAAGTCATCCAATTTTCACGTATTTATGATTTTTTCGAAATATTTACATAAGGCTGTATCGATTAGCGAGGGTCGGACCATCAGTCTGTTCTTAATTGAGAATCCCACCCGTGAATCTGAGCCCCAATTTTACGTGAAAATATATTCGGTGCTTTGCTTTTTTAAAATATTTGGATAAATTTGAATTTAAAAATTAGTATTAATATGTTTTGAAATATTTATGATTTATATTTCTATATATTTTCAGAATTTCGCTAGCTTTTATTTTAGGGCCTAGCCGAATTCGTGATGGGTCTGGTAAAAAAGGCCTTCTTAACCCGCTAGTAGCGAAGTGGATAAAATCCCCGAACACTGGTAGTTGGTTGTGGGTTCCAGGGTTGGTGGAGTTTTTCGGGTTTTCTTCGTGTTTATAACACTTAAACAGGGAACAGTTTTTCATTCGTCCTTTTTTTTTCCTGACCCAGTGCCCGTTAACGTATGTGCACACCGGGCAGTTGTCTGGGAGCCCCACGCGAATTTATGCAAAGACCAGAATTTAACACTAATTTTCTGCCGGTTGTGCAGGCAGTCCCAGTGCGCTGCTTTGCCTAGTGTCCTACAATGCTGTACCCGGACCTGTCCTATTTTTGTGAATTATGATAACCCCGTGTAAACCTAAACAATATTTTTGTTCTGAAATAGGGAA